CGCTAATGATTGAGGAACAAACCATCCAATAGGGTAAATTCAAGAGTCTGTATTATCAAGTAATCAAGTCATGGTAACGGTCGGCCAGCCAGGCCTGGATGACCACGCGGGCCTGGATGACCACGCAGGCCTGGATGACCACGAACCGATATGGCACCCACCCGTAGCACAGCAAGCAGGAACAGTAAAATCCAAAGAAGATCTTGTATTAGCAGGTAATATCCAACAACATCGTAAAAACAATCGATAATTCCGAGGTGTTCACTTTTTCGTGATTTGAAAAAGAATGAGGAAGTTGCATGGTGGCGGGGCCACTTGAGCCAGGAGTCAACTGTTCTATTATTTTTCGCGGGGTGTTCTCATGTGTGAGAAAGAATATGCAATTTGTCGGTTTATCCAGGTAAGTATTCACGAAGTAGACTACTGTATCAAGTAATATCAAGTAAGTAAACAGGAAACATCAGACTCGGAATGTGAAGTCTGCATGGGAAATCTATCCCCTGCATAAAAATTTGGCATCCTTTCACACACTAGAAAAAATACAGGCTGAAAATACAGGCTGAAAATTAGGCAATTATGTATAATTCTGTGCACCTATTTTTCTAAAGTTGATATTTAAATGCAAATTTGAGTTGGTATTCTATGTACCCCTGCGAAAATACTTTCCTGTACAACCGATATGTTCTCATGGTACTGACAGTAGATAGATATGTTTGACAGTCGAAATAAACTGTATTCAAACATGAGATGGCTGTTTGATTGATACTTGGTGTACATTGAACAACATGTTAATTGTTTATAGTCAAAACATACTGGAGCCAAGGACACGGCAAATTAAAGTTATTGATTATTAACAAATGCAATACATGTAGCTGAAGCACTACTCTGCTGGTTCTACTAGAATTACTAGGCTAGTAAGTATACCACGTTCTAGGCTAGGCCAAGGCCTTGGTCAGTACCTCAGTACTGTCATTTGTCCAAGGCTTTCACGTCTACGTTTGTCACAAAAGCAGCAGACGATTTTTGGGCCTAGCCTAGTAAATTTTCCCTGTGATTCATTCAAACATGTACTAGAATGCATGTGCTGTACATGACTTCACGTTATACAATGCTAGTGAAAGATATATAACATCTCTAAGAGCTAAATGTTTATGCTTGTTACTTACCCATGGTGACTTATAACAACAGAAACCAAAATTTAAGACCACCTTGCCCAACAATCACTTCCGTAAATTTGGTGGTGTGTAAATAAGTTATGAAATAGAGGGCGCTGTTCACAACGCAAATAATGTGACAAGACAACTACACTAAAGTCGTTTCCACACGGTTGTCCTTATACAACAATGCATTGATCCGCATAAATCCCAGCTGTTTCAAAAACCCTTAACACAACGGCCGTTAAAAAAACACTGTAAATATAAGATTAGAAAGTGACTCATAATATGGCATGATAAAACCATGATAGTTGTGAATTCCAAAGAATTACACTAGAAGGCGCGAAAATAATATAACGTGAAATAATATTCGCTGGTTAATTTAAACATAGCATGGCTGGGATGGTATTTTGTTGGGAGAATTGCAATGCCAAAGAAATTGGCCATCATACTCATAAAAACAAAGGCAAATTTTAAAAATGAAATTTTGAACTCATTTTTACTGTGAAACATAAATTAATTATAAATGACTATATTATATATTCAGTCCAAATTTTACTGTATCACCTTTGCAATTTTTCACTGCCGATTCCGATTGCAGATGTGAGATAGAACAATCCTAGCAAAATCATTTTTTGGCAAAAAATATATAATGTCTGGAGATTTTTGTATGATCGGAAATGCAAGAAAAGAAGGAGGGAAGAAATAGGAGAAGGATGGGAAAGAGAATGTTTATCCAGTACCCGACCAAGTTACATTTTCTCGCAATTCACATTGGCGGATCTTGGGTCCTGACCCCTCCCTTGGGCAACAAAAAAAAAGGGGAAAAGAAAAAGAATTCTAGACCTACCTTTTCAGGACCCGTGGGCTGATTTTTCTTTTTTGTTGTTACAATAAGAAAATAAGAATTTTGAACAACATAAAAGTCATTAAAACACACTTCAAATGTCGGGAAAGCTCATTTCCCGCCATCTAGGAATAAAAATTTTCAAGGGGGAGAACCCCCGGACCACCCCTTCTTTGTGGAATTTATCGATTCATTTCAAAAAGAATACGCATGTAACTACTCATATGTTTATGTATGTATACATACATAAAATAAAAAATGAGAACAATTTACCTGACTGTTTTTAAGAGGGGAAAACCTTGAATTTTGAAGAACTTTAAAAGTCTTTAAAATACATTTCAGAAGTCAGGAAAGCTCATTTCCTGCCATCTAGAAATCGAAATTTTCCCGGGGGAACACGGACCTTTTTCTTTGGAGTTCACTGATTAATTGAATCATTTTCAAGAGGGGGAGGGGGTGCACCTTGAATTTTGAAGAAATTAAAAGTCATTAAAATACACCTCAGAAGTCGGGAAAGCTCATTTCCTGCGACCTAGGAATCAAAATTTTCCCGGGGGAGAACCCCGGACCCCCCCTTCTTTTTGGGATTTATCGATTCATGAAAAAAAAAAACGTATGCAACCACTCAATTTTTTTGTGTAGGCCTATGTATACACACATCAAGGCCTACCTACTGTAATAACAATGGGAAAAATTTACCTGACCGTTTTGAAGAGGGGAAAACCTTGAATTTGTAAGACCTTTTAAAGTCACTAAAAGATACTTGAGAAGTCGGGAAAGCTCATTTCCCACCATTTATAAATCAACATTTTCCCGGGAAGAACTCGAACCTCCCTTTCTTTGGGTTCATTGATTCATTATATTAATTTTCAAGAGGAGAAAACCTTAAATTTTGAAGAACTTAAAAGTAATTAAAAGACACCTCAGAAGTCGGGAAAACTCATTTCCTGCCTTCTAGGAATCAAAATTTTCCTGGGGGAGAACCAGACCCCCATTTCTTTTTGGGATTTATCGATTCATGGAAAAAAATCGTATGCAACTACTCAATCATTTTTTGTATGTACACACATAAAGCCTATCTACTGTAATAACAATGGGAACAATTTACCTGACCGTTTTCAAGAGGGGAAAACCTTGAATTTTGAAGAACTTAAATTAAAGTCGCTAAAAGATACTAGGAATCAAAATTTTCCCGTCGGACCCCCCTCTCTTTTTGGGATTCATCGATTCATGGAAAATTCGTATGCAACTACTCATTTTTAAAAAAAATTATGTATGTATACACACATAAGGCATTTACTGTAACAATGGGGAAAAAAAATACCGTACCTGACCGTTTTCAAGAGGGGAAAACCTTGAATTTTGAAGAATTTAAAAGTAATTGAGACACCTCAGGAGTCGGGAAAAAGCTCCTTTTCCGCCATCTAGGAATCAAAATTTCCCGGGGGACCCCCTTTCCTTTGGAGCTTAGCGATTTATTGAAAAAAGAATACGTAAGCAACTACTCATTTTTTTTAATGTATGTATACACACATAACAGGCCTATTTACTGTAATGAGAAAGTTTACCTTACCGTTTTCAAGAGGGGGAAAACCTTGAATTTTGAAGAATAAAGTCATTAGACACCTAGCTCAAAAGTCGAGAAAGGTAATTTCCCGCCATCTAGAAATCAAAATTTTCCCGGGGGAGGAATGTTGACCCCACTACCTAGGTTTGATTCCAGATCTGCATGATTCATATTCCCATTCATCTTATAAGTGCCCCCCCCCCCC